ATTCTCTGAGGGAGGTTTTGGACAGAAAGCAATTCCATTGCAACAAGAAGAGAAATCTCAATACAGCGTTTATGTCCAAGATCCAGGAATTCTGGCTAAATTCCCCTATTTGCCTCCTGGATCCAACACCCAAGATGTGTTGGGGGCTGTTGGGAGCAATTTTGAATCCATATTTTTCCCCTGAAAATCCAAATGCTGTGAGGTTAGATCTTGAATGCAAGAACCAATATTTGGGAGTTGTTCCAAAGGTCCTTGTAAGGAGTTTAGTATTCGGTGACCATCGGTGTTGGTTGAGGTAGCTCCGAGAAGGATTCGCGATGGAGTTGCGAAAGTAACTTTTTTTCTCGCGAAAGTTTTGCTGTGAAACCATTCATCTTTGCTGCTGAGCCTTCCTTCTAAGCTGATTAAAACACTTTTTTGATTTTGCGTTGATAAAGCCTGGTGAGGCTACAGCTTGATACCCTGCTTGGCTGGTTAGTGCCCCCAGCTGTGTATGCGTGCCTGTGGGTGTTCAGTCGGTGGCTTTCCGCTCTGAAACGTGGGTGATTTTTCGCGAAAGTTCCGCGAAAGATCCGCGAAAGCGCAGGCTTCCATTGTAAGGGGAGGTACATACTGCGCCGCGCTAGTCAGTATACTAGCTTGGTACTGGAAAGTTGCAACTTCAAGCTGGAGCTGCACGGCTTCCGAAAAGCTGCATCTTTTCCAGCCGGTGCATGTCATGTACTACCCTTGTGATGAAAAGTTACGACTTTACAGCTGGAGTCGGGGAATCGCATTTCGCGCACTACGCTGGCACGCTTAAAAGCTGCGATTTTCTGACTTGAGCAATGGACAGGGCACGGCAATGAATCCGCGAAAGATTTGCGAAAGTAACTTTTTTATTCGCGAAGAATGGCCATTTCTAGACAAAGGAATTTAGAACAACACAGTGGTGCGTGGCGGCAATCTCGGTCCAATGTACTTCTTGGGTTCAGTGAACATGGATGTTCCCGTAGTTGCCAGGCAGTCCGAGGTCGGGATGTCGTATTCAGGATCAGTGCAATTTTCCTCGGTTCCGAAGAAACATCTGAACATCCCGAATGTGGTTCCCCAATTTTGACCCCTTGTGGAAATATGCGGCGCCAATAGTTCCACTCTTGCGGAAGGTCCGCCGCGTACAAAGCATGCGATTGGTCTGGATGACCATTGCTTGATAACTATGCCCTTGTACCCAAACCGGATGAACGTCTTGATGCGTGCGCGCATGCATTGTTCATCATTTGTCTTAAACATAAATAAGGTGAGCGGACACATCCGCTACTAAACTCAATGCAATGAGGAAATTGGGTGGTCCCTTATCAGTTTTCAGCGTTGTAAGGCTAAATAGGGGCTCTCGGTTTTGGGTGGTGCCCAACTGGCTTTGCGGGCTGTTGCTGATTTTGCTAGCCCCAAGGCGCAACGTATGTAAATCCTGGATCCAGATCCAAAATGCGCGATTGCTGGAGAATATTCAATATCCAAGATTTTCGCGGGACTTTTGGGGGAAATGGTGGTGCATCCACTCTCCCACCCACCACCCCGCCCTCCCCCACCCACCCACGCTTCCACCCACCCACCCATCCATCCATCCATCCATTCATCCGTCCAGCCATCCACACATTGATCCATCATACAAGGCGGTGTCGTATTGTTTGTCGGTTACAAAGCTGCACTGAACGCAGCCGACAACGATTGCCTTGGGAGCCGGACACTAGTCATGTGTGTTCTCTCGACAAGATTGCAGCAAGCTTAGCACTGCTCGCCACTGATTGTTTTCTTGAGAGCATTTAATTGCATTCGCCCAAAATTGAGCTCAGCCTCGTGGTGTTTCACAAAGTTGTTTGTCCCCTTTTGTCGCGGCACAACGAATTCAAGCAAGCGGTTTGTACATCCGGGCTGCCAGCCTGCTTTTCCAATGAAAAAGACAGGCTTCTCTAGTGACAAATGAACATGGGATTCGCCGGGATGGGTTGGGGCCTGACATGGCGAGGGTGGCCTCCTTTGGTGTGGGCGCGACGCTGATCACGGCGGTTGCGCTTGGTGCAGTTTGCGGGCAGAGCGTTGTGAGGCGGGGCAAAAGTCGGGAAGGGAACGAGGGGATGGCATTCTGTAGATTTCCAAAGCAACTGAAACAGAGCCAGGCAGGAAACGCAAATCCGGAGCCTTGCAGTGTGGGGCTTGGGAACGCGGCACAAGTGTTTAAGGTGTAGGTTGCCGTTTGATGCGCGCGCCTCTCGCTTGTTTTTTTGTAAGCTTCAGGAAGCAGCCGTTGCCGCAGCCGCACTTCAGATCCCTGTGGCTGCCCGGTAGCGCCGCGGGGCTGCTGTGGAGCCTGGGCAACGTCTTCCAGGCAACGAATGCGCTGGTCTGTGTCCATTTTCGTAGGTCGAAATGCGTCAACTCTTGACACTCCCATTCCGGCTTTCCGAAAGCCTTTCGGCCTTTTGGGGTTGCCTTGTGGGAGTTGAGATTCGATTGATGCGCATGCCTTTGTTTTGGGGCATTGTTCTTTTGGCGGGAAGTCCAGGCTTTTTAGCAAGCCCCTGGTTGACATCTCATGTGCCGGCAATGGCCGCTTACTCACCAGGGGTGGAGTTCAAAGAAAAGCCCATTCCAATCAGCCCTCACCTGACCTGCCCAGACTGCAGCGGTGGTGCGGGGGGGCAATGCTGCTTGGCCGTGGAGGGATCTTGAGAAGTTTGGTGGCGCTTCAAGGGTTTCAGACAGGTTCCTTTAGCGTCATGCCAAATCTGGGAGAGGTCCATCCCAGTTGGATAACAGGGCGTGCGTAGGATCCAACAAGCACATCGCAGATGGATGCAACTGGGGAGTTGTCACAGAGAGGTCGATTCCACATGGACGAGGAAGGGCGACACACCTTCCAAACACGCCAACGGCTAAGCAGTTCATCGTTTGGATGGATGAGATCTTGCCAAGTCTTGGACCTTAGAACTTCGGTGGTCGTGCTGATGTACTGATGTTTGAAACGTGTGATTTGGCATCTCCAAACAAGGGTCGCTTGAGCAATTCAGACCCCCTTGAGCAAAGAAGGTTTCGTTGCCGCAACTAATACTCAGAAATACAAGGTTCATCATCCCAATTCACCAGCTGGTTTGGACTCGGCAACGTTTGCAACTCAGCCACGGGACTGGCTCAGCAGATCTAATATGACTGAGCTTTCCAAGCACGCTACGCCCACGACAGCCAGGCCAAAGCGATACGCAGCTCACTGCAGTGATGGAATCAGATCCAGTCGAATCACCTGCGCATCAGTTTCGGTGCAGACATTGATTCGGCATGCGAGGCTGTGATGCTGCCGGCCAATCAGGCCATTCAGCTGGTCACCTCCGGGGCCTTCGGGCTGCTCTATTATCGAGAGGCTCCCGACTCGCTTCAAAGTCGGTTCATCGGCTGTCCGAGAAAGCCCCCGAGACAATCTTTTAGAGCAGTTGCGGGGATTTGGAACCTGAACTCTGTCACGCCGAGAAAAACAGCCAAGCCACCCGTCAGTGCGTGTTTATTGATATCAACAGAGAGTCCTAGCAAGATATTGTCTGCATGCTCAGGCTTCAGGCAACCCTTTTTCTTGCCATCCTTTCCTCTGACAGGTGGCGGGAACTTTGCGGTCACTGCAGTGGTTCTTCTTCGCGTTGTGGACGTTGGGGGCCATCCTGCTGCTCAGCCAGGACGGCGATCGACTCATTTGTATGCCAGGCATGTCCACCCAAGACAGCCCTGGAAACTTCCGTGGCTAAGCGCATCTCCAAACTGAACAACTCAAGCCGCATTGATGTTGAACTGAATTGGGGAACCACATCCTTTCAGGCGGGATTCATCTTAAACCGTAAACCTTGGTTTGGATGCTGAACCTTGTAATAGGTTGTCTTGGGTCTTGTGTGTTGGGGAAGCCTCACAAACAGCTCTACCATGAAAGAAGAGGGAGGCTGTAGCTCCAACAGAACCTGTCATGTTTATAGAGATCGCATTCATTGCTGTTTCATATCATTGCTGTAAACTAGAACATGTCCTTCAGGAAAACCAGCTCTGAGTTTCACACAGCACCGGGGCTATCTTAAGGAAGCTGTCGCTTACAGCCCGATTGTAGGGCACTGCCTGACTCTGGCAACACGGAGGGTTTTTCATTTGGAGTCAATTCAGAGTCAGTTCGTTGACGCAACTTTGCTTCAGGAGAAGTCCTAAGATCCTGGTTTCGGCAGCTCAGTTGCCTTTCGCAGGGATATCACGGACTGCGAAAGCTGGGTGCGAGTCGGGGCTGCTCTCCGGTGCAAACCGGGTATGGTGCAGGGAAAGCGTGAGCCGAAGGCTCGTTGCTGGATGGTCGATAACGCAAGTTCCTGGTAAGCGGAAGACCTACAAAAACGCGGGTTGCACATGAAAACCCTCATGGCGCACAAGCCGGGTTGTCAATTTTGGAATTGAAGCCGTACGAACCGATCTTAAGAAGTACAAAAACCGCATGTTCTGTATGTTGTGCAAGAAGCAGGTTGTCACAAGGCCTGCTTATTCTGCCAACTGCCGAACCCTCGTTGTTGTACGTGTTGCGCTTCCCAGGTTTGTCTGAGGTTTGCATGTACAAAAGATGAATTCGAGCTGCGCCAATCTTTCCCGACCAATACGAGGAATCTCCGCAGAAAGGATTAGGGGCTCGTCACATCCGTTTGAAACTTGAAAGTTGCGGAAGTCCTCACGTTCCAGGTGGGCGGGGGGGAGCGCGGCCATGCCCAGTCGCTGAATCCTTGCGATGGCCCTCAGAATTGGGCGGCAGTTTGCCCGAGGGCTCGTGTGAATGGCTCCGCTGACGCGCTTCCTTGAGAAGAGACAGAGTTGAGGGACCGTAAAAATATTGGTTGATCTTAATTGTCTGAAGAAGGGTCATACACGCTCCTTCGACGGCACAGATTTTGGGCAGCCCCGTTGCCCGCTCGAGCCTTATGGCCTCGAGCCAAATCTTTGCGCGAACTGACGCCTTCCCTCAGAAACTGATGGAAAGGATTCGAGAGAGTCCGAGGCGGCTAAGTCGCTTGCTTGCTAGTTGTCAATTTGTCGGCCGGTTTCGGAGTCGCCTTGGCAACACCAGGATGCCCATGAGACTGTGCTGCTTGCCTGCTCGTGCAATTGAAAGTTGACATGTTTGCATTTGTTTACGTGTATGCTGTAGCTGGCATTTAGACGTGTGCCGACACTGAGTGTCAGGCACGGGGACGACTGCACGTGCCTTTAGACCGGCCCAGCTGCACGCACCTTCATACCCCTCAAGGGCTTCCGACAACGCGCTATAAAAATGGTCCTGCTTGCCATACCTCACTTGCGCGTTTGGCTTTGCTAATGTCATGATCCGTGGTTTGAAGCCCTCATTGAGCGTCCGCCAGACTCCAACACGAAAGTGACTCTGGATTTTGATCGCATGATAGTGACAAATGTCAACACAAACCTTGATCGAATCACTGGACCATCAATGCTGTCTGTCGATCAGACTCCTTCCATCCGCGTGAAGGGAATATGTCACATCCATAATATATTTCTACAAGGCGGAACGTCAGGCATGTTGTTGCCAACAGCCCTTCCCCCAGCGTGTTCCTGCTTTCTTCAAGAGGTCGCCACCTCCTAGGATGATATGACTGGTGGCTGAGAGCAGTTTCCCTGGTTCTTTCAATCATGTGAGCCAACAGCAGCCAAGCAGCCCATCAACATACATGCAATGAAACCACGTGGAATACTGGATGTTAGATTCCATGCGTTCTTCTCCCTGCGAAACCATGTTGATTCCTTAGTGCAAGGAATGCAGGTTTGCATGTTCGATTCAATGAATGCACCTGGCTGAATTGGCTGTGTTGGCAGATTGAGTACGTCAAATCACTGCCTGGCAGCCACTGTCAGCAGCCGGGTTTCCTGGCGCAGGTGTTTCCTGAAGGCGAACTTTGAGACGGCTTCGCCTAAGGCTCGTGTTCTCTAGCGTACGGCTGTGAGATTGCATGTGTCTAGTGCGCTGCTTGCTTGATTGTTCTATATTGGACTCTCTTGAACTTTATGCAGAACAGCCGTGGGGTGGGCACGCATGCTTCGAAGGGCAAGCATGTTACTGTTATGTCAGACAGTGCCGGAGGTGCGATTGAACATGAGCTTGTTGGCTGGATTTTGCTGATTCCGTTTGCGCTGGTATGTTCCAGTATTGCTGCAACAGGAGTCACAGTGCTGATTTTGATGGCAGGGTAATTTGCACAAACATGTTTTTCGGTATGAACTATGTGTGCGCGATATGACGATGAGCAACACTTGGCGTTTACTGAGCTGCTGGGGATGTCAAGGAAAGCTCTAGTTTGCTGCGTTGCTCCCGAATCTTGGCACGAAAGGCAGTCTTTGCAGGAGAAAAGGCTGGCCCTGTGAGCTAAGCGCGCACTGAGTTTCGGGAGACATGCGGAGGTGGAGTCATTCAGTTGGTCATGTGGAGATCCACTCAATGACCTGGGGAGACTCGTGCAACCTCTTTTCTGGCAGCGCCCATCGGGAGCGCATGGCTCATGGCCAGCCCAGGATTGAGAGTGCCCTCGTGGCCGCTTGCACTTGATCAACTTGGCGAGGGTGCGACGGTCTCATGGCGAGTAGGCTTGGCCCTGCCTTCTAGGGCTATCGATTGTCTCCCTGGCGGCTCTGGATGAATTCTGATCTTCCTGGTGGGCGCGTGCTGCTTCCGCGGCCGTCAAGGCTGTCTTGTGTTGCGCGTGCACTCTTTGTTCGGCTGCTCGCGTGGGAGGGTGAATGCTGCATACTCGTTTATTGCGGGGGGGGGGGGGGCAGGGATTCTGCGTGCCATTGCTGTTTCGGTGACTGGTTTGCTTTGTCTTTTTATGCCTGCCAAGCTTCGGACTGGCCAGAAAGCGCTGCAGCTGCCGAAGCCCAGCCAGGCGGGGTGTGAGAAAGGGCAGGTTGAAGCAGGTGACGGAGTCATTCTCTTGAAGTGTTTGTATAATTTGTAGGGCTGCTTGAATTAGGCGTTCACACATGACAAGATCACATTTCGACACGAGCAGATGGTATAGAGAGTGTGCTTGCCAGAGAGCTTCTTGGAAGAGCCAGATGAGAATGGGATTCAACAGTGAAAGAGTGCACATTTGGCGTACAATCCACGTTCCAGGATCAATCAAGAATTAGCTTTGCTTGAACTGCTGAGCACAAACGTTGGCTTTGGAAATGGGAATACTCCGCGACTAGCTGCGCCAATGATGCCGGCCAGCCCAGCACCCCAGAGAGGGTCACTTCCAAGATGGCTTCCACTACCTAAACACGGGGGCTTTAAAGCAGACCCCTGAGGATGCAGACACCTTGGCAGGCTTGCGAGTTTCTTTTGACAGTGGGTAGTATGACGCCCAAGCAAATTTGTCTCTCCAAGAACATTGAACGTGGCATCCAAACAAGAAGGTAGCTGTGGGATAAGGTAAGAGGAGCCTAGTTTGGAAAGAGAGATGAGGTTTGACACTGATGCAGCTGAGAACGATGCGAGGCGGTCACCAACGTGCGACAGTGACAATCATAAGAAAAGAGAGGCGTGGCAACAGATAAGTCTCAGCATACACCCCACACTGATTTGCTGGCTCTTGAAGGCCCACAGCAAGCAGAGTCCGGCACTTCCAAAGGCTTTTGGACAGCACAATGCCCAGATAAAAATAAACAGAATGAAACAGATACGTATGTCACTGCAGCTAACGTATCGTGCTCAGATGGAGCCTTCGTAGTGCCTTGGCCTTGGCCATGTTCCGCGTGCTGGGAGGGGTCGTGGCCTCCGCCATCCTGTTCGCGGCGGGCCTTATGGTTGGGCAGTCCTACTGCAGGTTCCAAGGCGGCGTGTTCTCCGCGGATGCCAGGGAGTTTGTTGGCATGAACGAAGTGCCCGAAAGGTCCAACACGCGCGCAAGGCCAGCGGAGGCCCCAGCGGAGGTCCCAGAGGTCGCAGTGACGCCGGAGCTGACAGAGCTGGAACCGCCGGAGCCGCCGGAGGAGCAGGAGCCGGAGCCGGAGCCGGAGCCGGAGCAGGAGCCAGTCTTCGCTTTCCATTGGCCAGATTCTTCTCGGCTGAGGCGCTGGCTCATCGAGCACGAGTTTCAATACAGCGGGGGGGAGGCGATCAACGTCCCCTGCAAGCGTGAAAAGCTTAATGCTAAAGACAAGCTTCTTTGCAAGGGGAGCGACAGAATGGGAGGCATAGACTCCAAGCACAAAACCAGGCATAACTACGGGTATTGCTACGCAACTTGGTTGGATGCTCTCCGCAGCAAAGTCCCTGCGGCATCTAGGAGCAATCCGCCATTGGTGGCAGAGGTGGGGATACTGAAGGGCTCAGGACTCGCAATGTGGTCGACCCTGTTTACGTCGGTGGTCCAGATCCACGGTTTCGACTTGGACCTGAGCAACACCAGGAACAACATGCCCTTCATGAAGGAGAAGGGTGCCTTTCCAAATGAGAATTTTAAGCTGCACACCATGAATCAAGTTCATGACAACGCTGCGCTTATTGGAGCTGTGGCTGATGGCAAGAAGTTCTTTTTCGTAGTCGATGATGGGATGCACACACGTGAGACCATTGCCAAAGGATTTGAAACCTTCAAGCCGTATTTAGCTTCAGAGTTTCTGTATGTGGTGGAAGATGCCAAAACAGATCGTATGGCAAGCCTGACAAAGAGGCTGGACGATGAGTTTGAGCTGCACCACTGTGAATCCGACCAGGAGTTGTGGGCAATCACTCGAAAAGCAGCTGCCTGATGCGCCTAGCAAACATTCTTCTGGGACTCCGGCAGACGCGTCAATGGATGTATTTTGCATATGCAGCAATTGGTGCAAATGTTGAGCTTGAGGCAGAAGCAGCAACGGTGCAAAGAGGTAGCATTACTACGTATTATTGTAGTACTTTCTGTTGATTTGGATGGATGGGCGACCAGACTGAACATCCCCATCTGCTCCAGTATCACTTCAAGACTCCGGCCCAGAAATGTCCATAGTTTCACGGAGAAAAAAAAACGCCTTGTTTGGTTGACCTTTCAGGAACCTCATCCGAAAAAATGCAAACAAAGAGGGAAATGCCACTGGGGAACTGGGGTTGGTTGTCCAAAGGTCAAGCTGTCAAACCATGGGGCACTCTGGCGCAATGAGTTAGCAGGGGGTCGGCCCAGAGCCCTAACCACTCCAGGTAGAGGAACGGTCGCGCGCCCGGGCAGACTTGGTTTTGGCGGGGCATTGATGGAAAGGCTTAGGTCCCTGTTGAGAAGGTTTTGCGGTCGGGGTGCTCCAATTGCAATGGCTCACAATTTGGGTCCTCTCAAGCACACTTCCAATTGCCCTCATATTGACATCTACGGGCTGTCCTTTCCACACGTGCTTTGGCTCGCTGGGACTGCTTCGGCTACAGGCTATTGTTCCTTTTTGAGGGCAATTGCTCACACTATCTCACATTGTTGGCCACAACCTCCGTCGCGCCCACAATATTGTTGGCAAAGTGGCGGAAGCCCGCCAACGGCGAATTATGGCAGTCGGGTCAGATGTGAATGTCCTTTGTGAGACGAGTTGTGCTGCTCAAGGCGCGAGCCAAAGATTTGCTCCAAGCCGCTGACTGGCAACTTGCGTTGGGGGCCCAAGGCATGCACGCGGAAGAGCTTGAAGGGAATGCGTGAGGCTAGCACTTGCAAGCTGTCAGAAAATGGCAGGCTGATGAATGGTTTGAACAGGCAAGAGCCTTGGCGCTTGAGCGAGCTTCTCGGAAATGGCCGGCAGCTTCCCCGCCCTCCAGCTTCCCAGCTTCCCAGCTTGCCGCGCTTGCCGCGCTTGCGCAAACCTGCCGAGAATCACCAGCTTCCCAGTCGCCAGCGTCCCCAGCGCCAGCCAGCAGCCTCAGCCAGCATCCCTATCCCCAGCGTCAGCAGGTACCTAAAACGTCTGCAAGGACGGCGTGGCCAAAGGCCTGAAAAAGGCGCTGCGCCTTTGGTAATTAAGCACTTCCCCACAGAGCTACGCTCCAAGCGCTTTGACAGAGTGTCTCACACAGGCATCACCATGACTCCGAACTTCTTATCTGCTAGCTCTTGCACCTTAAGTTGAAAAATCCCCTAAACGCACGAACCCACCACGAGCACAAGACAAAGGAAGTACTGTCCGTTTTACAGGCATAGAACATGCCGTGGCACACTTCACGAAGCACAAAAGGCTGTTACGGTCACAGGTAGCTTCGAGTGTCCGCAGATTGACCTTGCAAGCGGACTGCCCTGAAAGGCTTGCAGGTCACTCATTCGGAGTTTCAAGCAGCTGAACCGAAGGATGATTGATTCCTCATTGCCACAACGGAAGCGCACGAACCACCAGCCGACCTCTGCCAAGCTTTCCGTGCTTGTCCTCAGGTGCCGCTGAGAGGAACGTCCTTGCTTCCTGCAAACACGCTACGCTGATCAGAGGTGTAAGGCGTATCTCTGCTGATGTCGCCATTTGCCCGCTATGAAAATGGCACACACATGGTGGATATGATGACAAGTGCACTTTTTTGGACAAACATTGAGACCAAGAGGTTTACACAGTTTGAGGCTGTTCAAGTCTAAGTGATGAAGATTCAATTTTGCCAGTGCCCAATTTTGACCGCCCATACGTCAAACTCATAGGCCAGATACCAACGCTTTGGGTGGCGAAGCAGAATGATGCAGTTGAAATCTTGCAACATGCTGATCTGATTCGCGGGGCAATTGAACTGTGATGTGAGCCATTTTAGGATTGAGTGCAGCGTATGTCCTGCAATTTTGGTTCGAAGTGCTCTCAAAATCCGTTGAGGGAAGCATGTGACCAGCGAGGTAGCTTTGAGTGCGCTGAACAAGCAGCTCTGCAACGAACACGCTTGCTCTGCCCAATCTTGCAGATTGACAACAGAGTTCCTTTCCAACTCTCCACTGCAACACCTTGTGATATGTTGAACAAGTTGGATAGTTTAAAACAATTCGACTTCACATCTTGAAGTTGCAGATGACAGCAGGGAGATGCAGCTGTGGTGTTGTATTTGTTATATATGTTTATTGTATATGTTCGTCATTTATCGGTGCACAAACGACGCATGGGAGGGAGAATCAATGACGCGCATGGGGGCTGTCCGAGCGCTTCTTCTGTTTGCTGCAGTGATCGGGCTGTGCCATCGCAACTTGTCAAAAGGGCTGCGAGTTGTCTGTCTGAATGCAAGAGGGTTGCTGTCTTTCACCCTAATATTGAACGATGGCATCATATGTGTCGTGGTTCAGTGCGTTCCCTAGTAAGCAGAATGCAAACTATGCAAGCCTGGAACTGTGGCTTTCCTTCCTATCTCCATTGAGCAGGCAGGTTTTCGGCTTCACTAAGGAAGCAACATGTGACTCATTTGGCTGCTCGTTGAGGTCATAGTCGTTTCATTGACTTCGCCTTGCCACTGTGTGGGAGATCCTCACAGGTTGATGCCTCAGCCACTTCGCGCAGCATTGTGGGTTGACTCGTCGTACTGGGTATGTCGCTGTGGTTTAGAATTATGCTCATTTGGCGTGTTTTCACGAAGACATTGCATTTGCCATACCAACTCATGTTCGGTCTTGAGTGTGTTTGTTGAAATTGCAACGAGGTTTGGTGGCCAACCCAACGGATATCATCAATTCTCCGGAGAAGCGAGGAAACGCCATCTCCGCCAAGCTCTGTGCCGGGCTGGCAAAGAATGAGCTGAGAACCAAACCAATATGGAACAAACATGGAAAATTGTCGATGAACACCTGTCGGTTTTCCGCTTCAATCCCGACGCCCCATCACATGGACACTTGAGGTTTGGGATTGAACTCGAGTGAGGCAAAGTCAATGGTGCAGCAAGCTGCAGATTCTGTCATGAAAGCCTATGCCGACGGCATCTCACGACAGTCAGTCCAGTTGAGCCTTGGACACGTACACGGGAGGCAGAAAAATGAAGAAACACGGGTGAGTTTTGTTTGAGCTGCGTGGTTTCCCACAGCTAAGGAGGCTTGATATCGTGTGTCCGCCCAATCGAGTCATCGAATCTGGCATGGAAGCGCTGCTGAATGCAGCATTGCCCATGGCAAAGGTCCTTTGTCTATTGATCGCGCTGCGGTGATCTGTTGATAGCATTGCCGTGGCTGGCAGCAGACGACTTAGGCATTTACAACATTCCTTGGAAGTCCCGGCGGTGCCCCGCTGAAAGATGTGCTCCTTGCCACATCAGAACCTTAGTTTGCTCTCTTCTAGGAAGGGAAAAATTGCATCCACTTGCATGCCAGAAGTTCGTAGTGATTTTACTAGGTGCTTGCAGTGTGTACCAAGCAAGGCGTATTTCGCGCTTTGACGGTGTTGGCACAACCTCTGGCGATGTGGGAACTTTGCTCTACAGAGTCTCTGAAGATCCAAAGCAGGACGACCGGGATTTGAGAGACGTGCTGCGCTGCATCATAGTTCTATGATTCCAATGCTGAAATGATGAAACCCTCTGGTATTTGGTCCTGTCGCATGAAATAGAATAGAGGAATGAGGAGTTGCACAGGCCATTCTGAATTCAATGGACCGGAGGATGTTGCGGTGGTCTTCTTGGGAGGCCGTAAGTTTGTTCTTCAAGACGACTCGGATGCCTTCATCAATGGGATGAAAAGCCGCCTAGTGGTCATGCTGAACTCAGAAGATTCGGCCACAACTTTCAGGCAAGGATCCGCCAAGCAATGGGTGGATGAACTAATCGATCTTAGATGATGTTTGTGTCAGACTATCGAACCTGTTGGTGTGCGTGTTCATTGTGTCAACTCACAGATGTGTTTGGCTGAGCAGCACCTGCGACTATCCCAACGCAGAACGTGTGATGCTCTGCAGCACCAGGCTTGAAAACAAGGGCCAGGAGGTCAGCGCTGGTGGAAACTTTGGAAACGATGTGGAGGTTCTTGGCAAGCTGCCTAGATGCAAAGGAATGTCTGAGAGACATGGCAGAAACATGGGATAATGTTTGTCCCAGAAGCATTGAAAACAGAAGGCAATCCAAGGTTCTGCGAGACATTTCGAGAAGAGACCTATTACCTTCGGCTTTTGTGTCTCGGCGCATAGATCCTGTATATAGTGCGGAGTGCCAATGAGAAACAAGTGCTTTGAAGTAACGCTACTATATCAGACTATCGAGCTGAACAAGCGCATCCAGCGCCCACACGTGTTGGTAGGTTCTGACAAGTACAGTACTGAACACAATTGTAAAGAGAAGTGCGTAACTGGCCCCTTCAACCCTGTAATTTCTTCAAGTTGTGGGCGTCTCGATGTATTATCCTCCATCACTTGCTGAGTGCCCCTTGAACATTAAGCATGCAAACGCAAGAGTATCCCGCGACCTGTCCTTCAGCTGCCCAGCGCAACGCGCATGAAAGTTCGAGGACGTAGGTTGATGATGGCCGATGCGGAAACTGATTGTGCTGGAATTGAAATAAACTGAGGCTCTTAAGCGACTGGCCTGTTCTGATCTTCCGCGCCTTGTCACGTGAGTAGTAGCGAAAAGATGCGGTTCATGCTGGCAGCGTTTTCGCTCGAGCAAAACGGATCTGACGCCAAGGTGCGTATCCCAATCCATGGGAAGTCTACCTGGAAGCTCTAGATGGTGACGTTGTGAGGCCCCACAGTCTAGTATCAGCTGATGCGAGGCAGCTTGTGTGATCCACCTAGACCAGCAAAGTCGGAGTTTTGGCATGACCAACCAACGGTTCCGATAGAGTGATGGGAGTCGCATGTACTCAACGCAAGTTGGGTTTTTCAGGCTCTTTGGCAGATCTCGCAAGCCACGTCCTGAAGAGATTCTGCAGGACACACGTTTGTAACGATACGTAGAGAGCGTACCATTCAGAGCGTCCAGTGGCCTCGTCTTGCAACCCATTGATTCGTTGATTGGCACAATCTGCGTTTTGTGAATGAAAGCTTGAGGAAATCGCCAAATACGAGGAGGAGAACGGAATCACAAATGCAGACAAAATGGTATCCTGTCGGATGTGAGCGCTGGCAATGTCTCCGGTCCATGGTAGGATGATGGAACGACCGGTGGAACAGCCGTTAGTTGTCAGCAGAAGACCAAGCCTTGTGTCTTGGGGTATGAGAATACAGTAAAGGCCCCGTAAGCAAATAAAGACAGATGGGCCCCTCAAATAGTCTAGAGTGGCTCAGGGGGGTCGCGCATGACTGACTGTTTTGACTTGGACAAGGAGTTCACTGTTAGGTGAGGAAAAGCCTGCTGTGAAGTTTGCTTTGGGGAAAGAAGGCAGCAAGCACTAATGCTTTTTGGGAAATGAGGTTCGGAGGAAGGCGGGAAAAGCTTGCGCGATTTGGACCATCTCAATCAATTGTTATGAAGTGAGTGAAGCGGGTTTTGAGGCCGGTGGGCAAGCTCATGCCTGACTGAGTTTGTAGACAAATCATGTCTACAACACATGTATCTTCAGGCCAGCGTGGCTTCAAAATCCATGCTGGCCAGGCAATTCAAGCATTTGGGCCTCGGAATCCGCGCGGCTTTTGGTGGGAACTAGAGCTGCCAACTTCAGAATCCGGCAGGCTCTCAAGCGCACATTGTCTTCTGCTATTGTGTGTTTGGCTCACTGTTTGGCTGCTTTTTTTTGCCAGCCTCCCCCTTTGGAGTGGCTTCAAGAGAGCTTAAGGGAAACTAGCAAATCTTGTTCCACTTTAAACCACGCCAATGTCTATCGCGATCCGAGAACGTTGGGAAAGCCAGACCCGCCGAAAAAAGGGTGCCCTCGCATGGACGCGCCCTCGCCAAGGCAAAGATTCAGCGTTGAGCTGCTGAGCTGTACAGGAAGTGGCTGTAGCGAGGGCTTCTTGCGCTGTCCAGAAGACAGGTTAGCTTTAGCCAGAAGTGACGAAATGATGCTTGGCTGGCTGTGAGTGCCGTTTGAGCATTCAAATTGTGTCATGGACCTTCGAGGGAGGCTATGAGGAAAAGGGTGCCGTTCCGTTCTTTGAGAAGCGCGGTGTGAATGTGTGTGCGCGCGTGTGCAAGTGCGTGCGTGAGTCAGTGAGTCAGTGAGTCAGTGAGTCAGTGAGTCAGTGAGTCAGTGAGTCAGTGAGTCAGTGAGTCAGTGAGTCAGTGAGTCAGTGAGTGAGTGCGGGCGGGCGGGCGCTCGCGCGCACGCGCGCCGTAACGCAGCTCTATTCAACATTGCGCCGGTGGTTTTTGAGGAAACAAGCGGCGCAATGGATACACCGAGAAGTCTGAGCACTGCAACATGTGGTCACGACCTGCAACATGTGGTCACGACACTTCAGGGAGCCTAGGCGCCACGCTGGCAATTCTCGCGATCGCCGATTCACCTGAAGGCAACGCAAGTTCAAGCTCAGCTCACAGCCAGAACAGACAGACATGTCGCCGAAAAGTCTTTCCATCAGGCTGTGATTGCAAGTTTGCTCGGCTCTTCCCACCAGCTTGTCTCCTGGTTGCGTGGCAACGATGCTACGAGCCACGCCCGTGCGAGTCTCACGCTACGAGTTTTTGTAACACTGCAACTGCAACTCCCATCTAGCATGTCCCACTGCCACAAACAGATTGTCATCAATTCGCCAGACCTGCGCCTCTCTGTCGCACGACCGCATATTACAAGTGCGAAGCCCCCTTGGCCTTGAGGACCCTGCTGAAGTTAGAGACGCCTGCATACTCCGCTATGTTGTCCTCACACAGGTTTCAAAAATTATTGGATTTCACAGTTTCACACACAGGGGTGTTTTAAATTCTTGGGTTGGCGCCCGAGTTTTGTTTCCAAGCAATGCGGCTATTGCCGTGCTGAAACCAGAAGCTGAAAAAGGCTTGGGGGTGGAACAGTAGCCTGATGGCGCAAGCTGCAGAGAGAGGGCTGATAGGCTGTATCTATGTATCTTATTGGCGTGTCTTCTTTTTGTCTATTCATTTTCTTTATCTATTTTTATCTGTTTTTTGTTGATCTCCTTTGCCTTTTTGGGTGGAGTGTTGAAACCTTCCCAAAGTTGGCGCCTGAGTTTTGCCAAGCAATGCGACTATAGCCATGCTTCTGTAGGATACATTGGAATTGGAAGCAGCTGCTCTCATGCCACCCTTAGGTTGGTTCATGGCATGATTTGAGATGGGCTAGGCGTGCAGTCTGACATGTTCCAAGGCTAATTGTTTGAGTTGTAAATGGGATATTGACTTGCTGCTACCATGGTTTCACCTCCCTGCGCGCTTGGCAAAACCAACTGCCATGCACACTGCCTAGCATGCTGAGCTGTCGCAACAAAATGAGCTTTGATTGGTTCTCCAGCGGTGAAAGCACCATCCGCGGCATGTACACTGCGGAGCATTGTCCGGCCTCAGGACGCACCACCGCAAAATGACCATGTGTTTCCTGTTTCCTTGGGAGAAGCCAAGCGAGGCGGCCAGTGAATGTTGCCCAGCAGGATTAGCTTGCTCAAAACGTTTTCATGGTAAAGTCAGCCTAGCCCGATGCCGAACTCACCGTAGTGGATGACGGCCTGTCGACGTACTTTAGGACTTCATATTTGAAAGGGGAACTCTTCTCCGGAAGACAATTATGTATTGGGTGAGGATGTCCACTATGGACCGCATACCTACAGGTATGATGGGCCAGATGGCGCTGTGCATGTTTGGCGACACGCGTTCAACCTGTCAAATTTCGGGGAGAGAGGCGCACGTCCTGACGACCTGCTAGTGTTGTACCACTACACAAATGAGCTTTGCTTTATGAACGTATCCAATGAGCAACAGACCGCTTCTGAGCTCTTCGCTTCACTGCTTGACCACCGCGCGCATTTTGGCAAGGGTGTATACACCACGCAATACGAACCTTGCGTTTGGAAGCATCATATCCGCATACTACTCAACAATTATAGCGATGCTGATCCCATGCGCCTGCGTCTCAGTTGCCAGTGAATCGCGAGACCAGAGCCAAACCGAGACACCCAACCTGCCAGCTGCCTGAGGAGCAAACCCTGCAGACGAAGAAGGCCAAAATCGGAATCAAGAATGGGGTGACGGCAGTGCAGACGGACATCGGGCGGCTTTCTGTGTACCACTCATTGTTCCAAAGGCCATGGCCTTCAACATCTTTCGTCGGCAGACTTGCCCGGGCTTCTGGAAGACCTGGTGCTGTTGCAGTTTTCTTCAGACAGTCTTGGGATTTGGTTTGGGGCCTCGTTGCGCCGGATATTTTTCCAGCCCGCTTCTAGGTTTAGGGTTGATTTAGGCTGGTCTTAGGGGTGGGTTGGTTTAAGGTGGGCTTTGGGCTTGGGCTTGATTACTGCTCTGAGAGATTGCACAGACAGACTGCGCGGAGAGCGCAAAGATATTTTGTAGAGAGATTGTTTACATAGATTGCTCCGAGAGATTGCTCAGAGAGATTGCTCAGAAAGATTTCTCAGAGAGACTGCTCTGACAGACTGTGCAAAGAGATTGCTCAGCGAGATTGGTGAAAGGGATTGCTCATTTTGCCGGATATATTTTTCACAGAGGTTAAGTATTCAGAGAGATTGCGCGGAGAGATTTCTCAGAGGGATTGCTCAGAGAGCTTGCTCTTGTGCGAGATGGTCGCCCCTGAGCGCAGAGGGGCACGACGGAAAGGCAAGTGCCTAAGGCCAACGCATGAGTGACTCCAAGGTCAGATGCGCCCACGCAGATGTCGACGCCCGTCAGCGCACTAAAAAGCCATATTTAAAACTGAGGTCCTTGTGAAGATGGGTCTCCACAAAGATGTTGTTTTCAGACTAGTCAGTGTGGGACCTCCTTGCAATTGTATGACCCCCTTGCACAGTGCGTTGGACTTGGGCTTGCTAATGCTTCATGATTGGTTCAGTTTTTGCAATGTTAAATTTAATTTTGCCAATGTTTAACTGCAGGTTCCCAGTACATATATTAGCATTGCCAGTTCTAAATTTAATATTGCCAACACTGAATCTTAGATGTCCTGCAAATCGCTTAGCATTGCTGATGCTTAATTTCAGAAAATCAGTTTGTTTTTTATGCATGTATTAAAGTTTCATTGCCATGCGACAGGAACACCTTCCCGGTGCCACGCACCTCAAGCTGGGGCTGGCACGGAGCCCTGTGTGGGCCACAACACTCAATGTGGGTCTGTGTCAAAACTGCATGAGTTGAAATGGGAAACAGGCATGAAACCAACCATTTGGGGGTGTCCTAGTTCTGAGACTCCAGTGGCGATTTATCCCACACGCCCTCTTGCAAAAAACGCATTGGTAAAAACAATTCGCCAAATTATTAACCATCCTTTAATGGGGGCTCGACTGGCGGGATGCGATGATTTTTCCGCGGGCTTGACTGGTAGACCTTCTGCCCGTCGAACGAATCCACACGCCACTGACCCCGTCGCATAAAAAAGAGCCGGCCACGTAGGCAATATTCAACTGGTCAAAAACGAGCTGGCCATGTGAGAGAAGCAAACTGATCCCAAACGGGGGGTCATTTATGAATCAAAGGTCAACATTATTGGTATGTATTGCTATGTATGTGCTGGTATGTGTTGGTGTTGTCAAGGCTCTCAACCACCCCCTATCTTTAGGCCCCAGGGTTTGGGGATGAGTGCTGGCTTTCTTGTGGAGTGCTAGCGGCGGCTATGTTTTTCCCGAAAGCATGGCGAAGGGTACTTCCGTTGGATTCATGGGAGTTATTATCATGAGGGTCATTGCAAAGAGTTATCAATCATCATCAGAGTCATTGCGCAGAGTCATCATCATTGTAAGAGTCATTGCGCAGAGTCATAGCAGAGAGTCACTTGCGAGGAGCAATGCTCGTGAGAGTCACTGGCAAGGCGCAATGCTCATGAGAGTTCTCACTCGTGACGAGTTTTAAATTCCTTTCTTCTCTTCTTAGGGCGGCGGGGTAGGGCCGACAGCGCTCTACGAAAATCAACCCTCTGCGGAGATTCGTGTGGCCAAGGTCAAAAAACCGAGGACTTTTTACGATTTCTGATCTGTGCGAGCGACCCTCTGCCCTCTGCGGAGATTCGTGTGGCCGAGGCCAAAAACTGAAGACTTTTTACGATTTCCGCGGTGCGCGCGCGACCCTCGATTCGTGTGGTTGAGGTGAAAAACTGAGGACTTCTTACGATGTCTGATCTGCCCGCGCGACCCTCTGCGGGCCGAGGTGAAGCAACTGTGTTTTTTTGCGATTTTGACATTCCAGGATGATCCCTCTGCGGGGATCGGCGGGGTCGATGTGCAAAACCTGAGGGTTTTTCGATTCTGAATATGCTCGCGCGACCCTCGGCGAGGATGTGTCGAAGCGCTCTCGCTGTGGCGCCGCGCGAAGTTGTTGCTTGCGAAGCGGTCTTTGGAAGTTGTCGCGTGGTTTGCGCGGCTGCTCTCGGAGTCGCGCGGTCGCGGGGTCGATCCCCGCCTGGTCCGCGGAAGCTTTTCTAGACAGAAGTCGCAACTTTTAAGCTCAAACGTAGTACGCGGACGCAGCTCCGGTTGGAAAATCGCAACTTTTAAGTACAACTGTAGTACGCGGAGTACAGTCCTGCAGGTCCGGCTGCAAAATGGAACTTTTCAATCAGAAAACTAGTGCGCGAAGTACTTCCCGAAAGCTCCGGCAGCACTTGCGCAGAGCAACTTGCGCGCTGCCGCTTGCGCAGAGCAACCTGCGCAAAGCAAATTGCACAGAGCACTTGCACATAGCAGCTAGCGCAGGGCAACTTGGGCAGACCAAAAGTCAAGTGTTCCGTTGGTAGAATTATGATCGTGAGAGTCATTGCACAGAGTCATCATGACAGCCATTGCATAGAGTTATCACACAAGAGTCATTGCACGAGAGTCATTGAACGGAGTCATCGCGAGAGTCATTGCACATTGTGAGAGTCATTGCACAGAACCATCCTGAGAGTCATTGCACAGAATCATCATGAGAGTCATTGCACAGAGTCATCATGAGAGTCATTGCACAGAAGCATCATGAGAGTCGT